TAAACAAAACTGTTAAAATACATAATGTATTATAAACAATAGAGCTAATGTACATTACGCATTATAACAAATGCCTGCAGAGGGCGCCAACAGCCTGACGATTGTTTTACACTTTACTGCGCGATCTAATCCTTGTTTAATAGCAGTAGTATGTTTTTACATTCAAATGTCCACTTAATCTTTAATATTTGGACATTTCTTTATGACAGAAATCTTAGGCTATTTTCATGGCAAAAACAATTTAAAAAATACAAGTATATCAAATACAATAAAAACCAGCAAAAAAATATTTTTTACATTAACACGATACATTTTTTTACAAAACTTTTTCTGGCAAAATTATACTAAATACATATATTGAAAGTAGGACAATCCAATAAAATATGTTTGACAGAAAGGGGAATCTTGCAGAACATGCATTGAGTAGGGTCTTCAATCCTTGTTTAATAATGACTCAACAAAATTTAATTCAACTGTCTGCTTAATCTTTAATATTTGGCCATTTCTTTATAATAGAAAAGCTACAGCCACTTTCATTTCTTGAATATGTGGACATCAAAACGTGCGAACTCAGAGTGAGGGTTTAAACTTTTATTTTGAAATCGCGATTAACAGTTAGCATAATGAGAAAGATATTAATGTATTCTCCTGCGTTTGCGTAGATTTATAAATTATTTACCTTACAAATCTGATGAAATAGCGAACGTTGCGTTCCCAGATGAACGTTATAATAAACCCAAACTCACAGCAACATGCAGAGATGGAGTTTGAGACGCTCCACACATGTAAATGATAACAGTTTGTGTGGAGCAGCATTTACTGTGAACAGAGCCGTATGTACGTATAACCTACTACACACATGTAAATAAAGCGCATATATTAAACCTGCACCACATGTATTTATTTAACTGAATTGTAGCGTTTGTGAATTCACAATAGCATTATGCTTTTTTATGATTTTTTAAATGGGGTTAATATGTGGAACGCGCCACTTCCGGCATTTTACATTTACATTTAGTCATTTTGCAGGCGCTTTTATCCAAAGCGACTTACAATTGGGGAATACATAAAGCGATTCTTCTTAAAGAGGCAAACAGACACAGTAAGTGCTTGAAATACCAGGTTTCAGGCATTGTTCAAATAAGTACAAGCTAGAAAGAGAAGGAATAAATAAAGAGAAAGAAAAAGTGTTTTTTTTTGTTTTTTAAGATGAAGTCAAGTAGCGTTTAAAGAGATGAGTTTTCAGCTAACCTAGCTGGATGCTGATTACTCGATACGGGTAAAATGCAATCAAGGATTTTTTAAAATCGAATATTCGAATAGAATCGAGGAATCAGGAGTATCTGAACGCGCTGAAGAGCGCAAACACGCACCTGTCTGCACTTCTCCGTGGTGATGTCCTCCTGCAGCATGACCACGTTCGGGATGGGTCTGATCGGCACCAGATCCACACCTGACAGCAAAACAACAGCGTCAGACCTGGAGTCTGTGTCTGAATCACAGACGCTTCACTTCACAACCACTCACCGATAATCAGGCTGGACACCGGCATGAACTTCGACGCCACCTGCAACCTGAACGTCAAAGAGAGATTATGAAACCAGCGCAAACTGGCACTTTTTGGATGAATAATTCAAACAAAAACTATTGTCAGAAACTCTGGTCTTCGCGACAACTCGTCAAAATAAAAGCTCAGTCAAACAGAAATATATTTGTCAAAGTGACAATAAAATGATGAAAACCTTATCAAGTGAAACTGTTTTTTCCATGTTTTAACATTTACCGTAAACCTCTGTTGTGCAGCACTGTTTGTTAATAAATTAATAAATAAAAATAATACAGAAATAAAATGACCACCGTTTTTGATAATAAATTTGTATTAAATAATAAATACAAAAATTTAAAACAGAAAACATAGAATATCTGAAAAAAGAAAACATTTCATAGGGTAATATTATTGTAACAAAAAATTAATAAGTTGTTAAAGTTTTATTAATTAAATTGATTCGACAAGCTTTTTGATTATTAAAGTTTACATAAAATATTAAAATGCAATCCAGACAAGAAAAAAAAAAAAAAGACAATTTGGGAAAAATAAACATTTCATAGGGCCCTAAAAAAATAATTTTTGTTAAACTTTTAATAATTTGCTATGTTGTTAAATTGTATAGGTTTCATTATTTCAATTGATTAGACACACTTTTTGGTTACCACAATTTAATTTAACCATTAAAACAATTCAGAAAAATTTAAAAGAACAAAAAATGAAAGAATTAAAATGAATTTGGGGGAACATAAAACAGATTTCACAGAAAATTTACAACTAAAAATGGAATTTGGGAAAGAATTAAACAGAATTAAGGAAAAAATTAAACTGATTTCACAAAAAAAAAAACGAATTTGTGAAACAATAAAACGAATATTACAGAAAAATTTGATTGGAAAACAAACTAATTTGGGAAATAATAAAACAGAATTTGTGGGAAAATAAAATGGATTTAACAAAAATAAATTGGAAAAGAATAAAATGAAAACATCAAACACAAAGGAATTTGGAAAAGAATAACATGGATATCACAGAAAAATTAAAACAAAAAAAAGGGAATTTGGGAAAGAATATAACAGAATTTAGGTAAAAAAATAAAATGGAGGTGACAAAAAACAACAGAATTTGAAAAAAAAAAGATTTAAAAAATTTGAGGTAAAAACAAAATAGATTTCACGGAAAAAACGGAATTTGGGAAACAATAAAACAAATATTACAGAAAAAAAAAACTAATTTGGGAAAGAATAAAACAGAATTTGTGGGAAAATAAAATAGATTTCACAAAAAATGGAAAAGAATAAAATTAAAACAACAACAACAACAAAAATAATTTGGGAAAGAACAAGATAATGTAAGGAAAGCTCAAACGGGTTTAACAGGCCCTGGTTACGCTGTTCAACATTAACTAGCGAGTTTACCCACCATCCTCCTGGAGCCGCGCACAGGTCCACCAGCGCTCGAGCTCGCTGAAGAAACTGGAACTTCCGGTTGAGCTGAATGAGCTTAAACGACGATCTGGAGCGATAACCTGAAACAACACGATATAATGAGAGATTACACGCACTACAAACACCATGACATTACCACAGTCTAGACGCATCGGAATGATTCCCGTAATATCTCTAGGACACTTTGAGGAATATCATGCTACAATAATCTCGAATAACGCCCGGTATTACCACAGTATGCGTCCAAATCTCAAGGTAATAACGTGGTACTCCGTGAGCTCACGCGCATGGGTCTTAACCTTCATGTTTACGCGACTCACCCGTTTCTTTTGCGAGATGGTAGAATTTGTCCTTTCTGGTTTTTCCGACTTTCAGTTTTTTACCCATGATTTCTGTATTAAATCACCCGCTCCTTCGCTTTTTTCGGACACCTTCCACCGCGTCGCGTCGCTCCACTTTAGCCACACGTGTATTTTGGCGGCGCCGAGAGATGACGTCAAAGCCCTCCTCCTCCTCCTCCTCCTTCTTTTTTTTTTTTTTTTTTAATTAATTTTTTTATTGCATATGAACATATATAACAGTAAGAGAAATACAACTTTGCATATAAATGCCACCAGTACACAAGATTACAAGTAAAATAAAAAAATAGCCAGAGGAAGAAAGAAAACATAAAATAAATAAAACAACTAAAATAATGAAGACGGTACAGTTTACTTGTCTATTTCAAATTTGCAGATAATGTTAGAAGTCCTGAGAGCTTTTTTTGTTTTACATTTATATACCATATTACAGTATTGCTTAAATTCGTTGATAAAATCAAAAAAAAAAATTGGTTTACCACACGACCACTTCATTTTGTGTATATGAAACTTCCCCATTACAACCAGTAATTGAATAATATACGCTTTATCCTTTTCTATCCCATAATCATCAACATATATCATTATATCAGACCCACCCAGTTTAACAGCTGTATTACGTTTTCTTGTAATGAAATTCTCAACATCAACCCAAAATATCTTTGTATAGATGCAATGAAAAAATAAATTAAAAATTGTTTCTTTTTCGTTACTACAAAATTCACAGGAGTAGTCAATATTCAATTTAAAACGTTCCAATATATGTTTCACCGGATAAATTCTATGCAATATTTTGAAGTCAACAAATAATATAAGACTATTCCTCCTTCTTCTTCTTCTTCTTCTTCTTCTTCTTCTTCTTCTTTGGAGTTTTACGGCAGTTACATCAACGCCGTCAGATTTTGTCACTTTTCAAATTGGAAACTGTTTATGTGTTTGACAATTATTTATATATATATATATATTATAGTAATAATGGATTCGTAAATACAAATTTAAATTATAGAAGTATACAATTCTATTTTTAATCTTTAGTTATAGCTAAAATATAATTTAAATACAAAATAAAATCTTACATATGGCATAGATGTAAAATCATATTTTGTTTTACAGGGAAAAATCTACATGAGTTATAAAATGATGAAATAGTACATTTATATTTAGTACATAAGTACGTTTACAGCTTTTCTGAAACAGACACTGAGGATATAGTTCTATAGCCTAATTTTTAAAAGTTTTATTTACAATAAAGAACCATTTTAAGATTTATTTTTGATTAGAAATTATGGTTTAACTCGGTCTCCCGTGCAAGAACCATCTTATTAACTGACATGCTTTCATATTTCTGTTTTGTTTTTATTATACTCCAGTGCTTTTTATTGTATTATATATGAACCACGGAAGCATGTTACGCTCATTCCCCTGATGCTCATTATAATATGCAAATACGGGGCGTGGCGTCGCCTCATGCCGTCATCAGCACCGGACAGCGGCGCGGGAAAGACCATGAAATTGCTCCTTCTGTTGCTATTCCAGCAATTCCTCCTTGGTTGTTCCCTATGCCACTAATTGATTTACAAATTCACAAAGTAATAAAAAACTGGTTTGCCAAACCGCCATAAAACACCAGAAGAAGAAGAAGACAGCGGCGCGGTCACGTGCTCCTCGCGTAGAATCCTCCAGATCAAAGATGGCGGCGTACATGCGAGTGTGGAGCTCGTACAGTCCAGCGTCCAGAAGCGCCTCCTCAGCCATGATCAGAGCCGGCTTAGACGCACTCTTCCCGCGCTCCTACTCCAGCATCTCCAGCAGGGCGTCCTCACGCAGCGCCAGGACCGCAGCATCCGTGCTGACTGACAGCTGGAGTCGGGTCACAGCGGCGGGCTCCGCGGGCTCCGGCTGTCAGCGGCGCTTTCTCTTCGGGAGCAAGGGCAGCGGGTTTTCCGGAGAGGACGGAGGCGAGAGCAGCGCGGGGTCCGCCGGAGATGAGGAGTCTGGAGGTGATGAAGGTCCCTACACTCCTCCTCCTCCTCAGATGACAGCGCTCACCCCGATGCTAGTCCCCGAGCTCTTCCCGAACGTGCCGCTCGTCGCGGTCAACAGAAACCCGGTGTTCCCGAGATTCATCAAAATCATCGAGGTGACCGAGGCTCATGACGGACCTTATTCTTCAGAGAAACGAGCGCGCCGCCATCTTTACAATGTTGTCTTTGAGCTTCCGTTTGCTCTGTAGGTTTCCATGGCAACGCGCTCTAAGCGTAATTTAGCTGCTAACTTAAAGATAACAAACGTTATCGTGAGCATTGCAATGTTTAAGGCAAATGTTTTAATTAATGTCAGCAGACCAGGGAGATTTTAAAACGAGCGGTTCAATCATAAACCCGTCAGATCACACTGTGGAAATACAACAAGAACAGACCGAAGACAACAACAAACGCGTCGCTAAAAAAAGGGGCGGGGCTACATAAGGGCAATAGGAAAATAACGGTTATTAGAAATCGAAAAACGGTTAAATTATGAGGTATGTCGGTGTAGTTTGCATTTAAAGACACGAAAGTCGATGTTTTGCTGCGGTTTTACTACAGCGTTTACTTCGTTGATAATTTTTTACATTATTATTTAATTTTATTTATGTATTTTTGTATTATTGTTTGCATTTAAAGACACAAAAGTCAATGTTTTGCTGCAGTTTTACGACAGTGTTTGCTTTGTTGATCATTTTTTACATTATTATTTAATTTATTTATGTATTTTTGTATTATTGTTTGCATTTAAAGACACAAAAGTCAATGTTTTGCTGCAGTTTTACGACAGTGTTTGCTTTGTTGATCATTTTTTACATTATTATTTAATTTATTTATGTATTTTTGTATTATTGTTTGCATTTAAAGACACAAAAGTCAATGTTTTCATGTTTTACTACGGTGTTTACAGACTAGTTGGCATCTGATTTAACCTGTGGTTAAATATTTAGTACTTGGATATTTGATATCAAGTAGTATTATGTCATATACTGGAGAAAAATTAATATAAAACGTTTTCTTACAATTTTTTCGGATTTTATGACATTGAAAGCAGGGAACTGTTATCTTGATAATCGATTAATTGATTAATAATTGATTTATTTTGAAAAATGATACAAATTATTGTTGTTTAAAGAACTGTTATTCCACATTTGTTAATAAAATATTTGCGTATATAAATATTGCATAAAATAATAGTCCATTATATATATATATATGATATATATATATATATATACACAAACATACATGTATATATTTTAAAAACATGTACATGTATATTTTTTTTATTCATATACAATTTATATAATATAAATATTTTATATATAAACAAAACATTTATTTATTTATTTTATTATTTTTTTAAATATACATGCATGTGTGTGTAATTATATATATATATATATATATATTATTTTGGATGCGATTAATTGTTTGACAGCACTATGAAATATGAATGTAAATTAAATGTTTATTCAATTATATTTTTACGTTTATTTAAATTTTAAAATTAAAAGTGTATTTAAATGTAAATTTTATTTAAATTTTTATTTAAGTTTATTTAAATTCCATGTTCCATCATAAACCTCTAGAGGGAAATTAGATGTTTTTTTTTTAATAATGAATTTGTTTTGCAACAAAAATGTGCAACATCTTTTGCTTCTTTGTGGACTGATTGAGATGAATGCATGTTTCAGGGACGTTTTCTGACCTTTTTGTCCGTGGTTTCCCAGAATCCGCATTAATAAGCAGCTGGACGTGGAGCCGGAGGAGCCGGTGTCACTGCAGGAGGAGGGCGAGCAGCCGAAAGCTGAGCGGCGGAAGCAGAAGCGATCGCGCAAGGACTCGGCTTCGCCGCCGGAGCCAATGGAGGAGAAGGTGCGGGAGGCCCAGTTTGTGGTGGAGGCGCTTCCTCTGCCCGGCGTCCTCTTGGTGGAGGTGGACAACGTGGTCCACGAGGAGTTCCAGGTCACAGAAGAGGTCAAGGTCAGTGTCCGGTTAGTGTCATTATAGTTTTTATTAGTATTCTGAATTAGGTTTTATTTTTTATAGTTTCTGTTTTTTAAAGTTTTAATTCAATTCAAGTTTATTTGTACAGCGCTTTTCACGATACTAATCATTGCAAAGCAACTTTACAGCAAATTAAGTTTCTACAATATTTAGTGGTAGCTTATCAGTGGCGACTGTCAGTCAATGTACATATTGCAGAAATGTACGGAAAAATCAATTAAAAACATAATCAAACAGACGATGAACACTATTAACAGCAATTATTATATGATACAATCAAACTTATATCAAAATGTGGTAGTTCTGTATGTTGTTTCATGGTTGGCATCATCTGAGGTCCTCTGAGCAGTGCAGAGACTGTAAAATTGGGGTAATATGATCATCAGTTTTAATGGTTTTGTAGTAGGACTGCACGATAAATCGAAATGGAATCGCGATTCGACAGAAGCTGCGATTGTCATGCGTATCTTTCAGTGAAGCACGGTTCTGTGATCAGCAGT